TATTAAAGAAACCCTTTTAGAAATATGGATGTATTCTGGGACTTCTCTTTATCAGATAATCGATCGTGATATAACAAAGAGTTTAAGCTATGCACCGCCAGTGTAACACGACAAATTATATTTGAAATTACATGAAAAAACCGCATGCTTATTCGGAGCAAAAATTGTACCAATATCATGTTCAGAAATCTCTCGTTTATCAATGTTTTCTCTCTCGTTATTGGAATGCTATTTTGACGGAGTGTTTAAAAAGGATTGCTGTAAAATTGCTACTGTTGTGATCGAATGATCAAGGTTATCCATGCTCACAGTGACTTAGAGGTCTTATGTTTGAATCTCATCACTACGTCCGTCAATCACCTTTCTGACTTCAGTATAATCTCAAACGGAGTCTTCTACCTAAAAAACTGACTATACCGTTGTACATTCCGTGAACCCAGTTTGTCATCGGAACATTACAATTTTTATCTCACCATTGAAAAAATACATATCTATCCTACATTATTCACTTCATCTACTACCGAATCGTACTAAAATTTCTATTCTATTAATCAAGAAACACCATCACAGATAATTATGCGGTTTCGAATTAACTAATTTATGCGCTGAACATCATTTTTGATGGATCGCCGGGATTGTTTAGGCAACTTTAAAAAGTTACTTAGACTGTCGATTAGGCTATGATCGAGAGAGGTTTGTCAAAGCGCATCGCGACAATCTGATAGGCTTTTACTATGCACATAAAAATGGACATGCAATCATACGTGAGTTCTATATCTGATCGTTGGAGGATTTTCTCATTTATAATTGGCCATTGATTGATTTTCTTGTGGAAAAAACAACAAGCGGGATACCGTTGCCACATTGACCTCAGTGGAATGATTGACCTGATTAACCAGATGACAGATTAGGCAAAAATACAGACCAATGATCCCATTCGACAATGCGGGCAAGGGCAAGAGAGAAATCGCCCAATAGATTCACCCAGATGGGGAATAGTAGACCAAGGACAAGATAAGAACAAGCAGAAAACACACGATTAGGGGCGCAACGAATCTGATCTGAAGCACCAAAAATAGTGGAGATTCGATAAGCTTATAAGACTGTCACTCCACTTCCTCCGTGACACACTGCGTTCGTCTCCCAAGGACTCCAGCCGCCAATACGATCCAATAGTGATCGGACATTGTGAGAAAAAGGTTTAGATACAGTGGGTATTTCGATCGTCGAATCGTTATCGTAATAGTCAAAATAGCGGAAACTCAACTGACTGTTGACGTGAACGTTTCTCTGTCCATAGGACAGGACGTATCGTAAATATATACACAAACGATATTATAGATCATTTAGGAACTTTAGCTCAAGTAATCTCTGAGCTGCTTTTGAAAACTGACCACAACATTCTATAACTTTATAAGCTTATGCCTATACTGAGAGCATAAGTCGGATAAAAGGAAGCTCAAACAAAAAAGTGGATAAATATTCCAGTTTTTATTATATCTCAAGATAATTTATTTTGCAGTGCTGAAAACGGTTCAGTTCATTTCAGAAGAGAGTTCAGATAGAGAATTTATATGGATTGGGGTTGCAAGAATATTGAGCAGATGCACAAGCGCCACTGTTCGTCAAATCATCCAATGTATCGAACCACCGGTTTCCATGATCTCGGGGTCCCCACTCAGGAAGCCTAACGGGACCGATGTGACCCAGCGTCCTGGTTAGGGTTTTCAGACAATCTGCCACCTGGAAGTAAATCGATGCCGCTATCCTCGCACGGGGATAAGGCAGTTTCAAGAATTAAATCTATGACAAAGTTAAACAGAAACGGAGAGAAAGAGAGCAACCCTGACGAACACCACTCTCTGTAGTGAACTTGGGCGAAAGAGTGCTGTAAGCTCGGACTCGGTTTCGGCTGTTACCATAAAGAGATCGCAAAATTGAAGTGGACTTCTCGGATGATGAAAGCGGTTGTATAACACCAACTCGCAGCTTTGGCGGGAATTATTGTAATGCAGTTTCACCATCTGCAATAGTTACATTACTACACAAGTGATTACTTCACTGATGGTGACTATTTCTCTGTAGAGAATGGGACTAGTTACAGGTTTGTACGAAAGCAGTGAATTGTCTCGTATGAACTGTGATTTTCTTATCAATTATTAGACCAATAGACAGTGTAATTCAATCACAACTCATGTTCAATGCATCTTCTCAAGTTATTGGTTCTTATATGACCGGCTACACCCATTCCGTAGTACACTTATCCAGATTAAATATACATAAATGATGACTGAATAAAATATGAAACTGCGAAATGAAATCAGGTCACTAATCCACGTCTCATGTGATCCGTCAGTTACTGTCTTTAAATTTAAATACCACTTGAAAATCACCCGTCCTCAACGAACTTTAAAAACAACTGACCTGTGCGAGGTAGTACAAGTATTGCAACACTGGCGCTTTGCGTAACAATAGTCCGTGGTTGATACTTTCAGCCAGCAGGAAGCACGTTACCAAGTGATTGATATTTCCGGCTTCGCCACAATGTGGGCGAAGAGCGAACGTGTTTAGGCCACGGTGACTGAAGCGATCAAGAGATGAATAGAGTTGTAAAAAGGGTTTGATAAGACATAACAATGTCTCTGAGTATTCTGGGTGGCGCTTTTAGTTCAACAATGCATGCAACACCGTCTCAACAACAGTCAACGCCGAGTAAAACAAGGAGTTCCGTATATAAACCATCAATGAGGGCATTGTGGAAGGTATGTGGAGCACGAATCAAATAGATACCCAGCAGATCAGTTAAAGGTGAGGCATTTTTTCTCAAGATTGTCGTCCACAAAACAATGGCTACTTTTTTGTCGAGATTGTGTAAAGTTCAGTAGCCTCGGTGGAATTTAAACCCACGCATGGACGCCGCCTACGCTTTTGTACAGCGCACGCCCTTCCAGCTGAGTTACGAGGCCACACCGATATCACTGATCTTTTCATATTCGAATTACCCATCCAACTTAGAGAGACATATGGCATCCAGCAGTTAACATGTGAGCTGACTGCCCGACCGGTAGAGTGTGCGCTGTACAAAAGCGAAGGAGGCGTCCACGCGTGGATTCGAATCCCACTGAGGCTACTGAACGTTTCAAAATTTCGACAAAAAAACTTGAATCTGCCAAACAACAATTTAAACAATGACTATTTCGTCGGTTGTCCGCAACCTTACCCAAGTAAACTGAAACCCGCAAACACAAGTCCTAGTGCTAGGTATGCCTGGAAAAGGCCTCAAGAACGGTCTACTCGATGGTGAGAAGCAAGGTGTATGGGTTTAGTTCCATATACACTGTTAATCGTGTACGTATTTCTGTATGTATCTGCTTTTCCCATATTTCTAACATTTATTTTCCTGATAGTTTGTCAACCTTTTTTCTCATCGTACGGCCCCGCAAAGGTGAACCAAAGAAGACAACGACCAAAAATCGACCACGAAGGTGTGGTTACTGGTTTTGCTAAATGGTCTGAAGTTAACGGACTGTCATCGACTCTGTTCACATAGTGTGATTGTGTGACCCATCGTTCGAATCACACGAGGTATCCCACTTCAAGAGTGCAAGGCACGCACACCTGTATTTTGGCCTAGATAGGAATCCTTAATTGATCACAGCCGCTTTCCTGAAAATTAACTATATATNTTTTATATTCAATAAATCAGAAATAATATTATTATTAGTGTAGACGAGTTTTATAAATGAGAGATTTTTCAGTGATTTAAAGAGGGTATTCAGGGACGAGCAAATCATTGCAATGATTCATTTCCACATCGCAAGCGTGGGGAAACTCACCTGCGGAACTGATTCAGCTGTGCGAGATTAGCATACATGTAATAAATATAGTAGGAATACGGTGGATTCTCCTGAAGCTCATATTGTTCTGGAGTGGGAGTCGATATGTTGAACACCACTTTATCTGACTTGGACTCGTCGTCCACGGAGTCGAATCCGGTTACGTATTGCAAAAAGGCATGAAGTTCCGGATGCGAGTGCGGATTTGCAGTAACTTCGAACAGTGGTTGAAAGACGTTTGTTAGAATATCCTGAATAATGAGTGCGAAAATGGAAGGAAGAAGGAAATGTAGAGACAGACAGATTGCGATTTGCTGAAAAGTTTTGTTGCAGCGGTAATCTTCTGGTGGAACTAAAGAGTATTCAATTATAAGTATTGAATTTGGATGGCCGAGTAAATCATCGGGTGCAATATAAGAAACAAAGTAGAATAGCCACCAAGAACTTACCATTTTGAAAGTAAAATATTCACTTTGAGTTGACGTGACTTCAATAGAAGCCATGCTGCATATAAGAGTAAGGAGTGCCTAAGATTAACCAAAAGTTAAGGATTCATAAGTATGGATTTACTGTGTGATGGGAAACTGATGGCGTCATACATTGTGGAGGAACTCTTCTGAATGTGGTCTTTGATAAAGAGGCAATTTTAGGGCGGTGACCACTGACTGCATAACTCGGAAAGTTCGCAGCTTAAGTCCACTGTAAGACACAAAACTGTTCAATGCTACCGACCGGTCAATATAGTCCTCTCCCGGAAAAAGACAAGCGAAAAGTGGAGAAACAGATAAGCCCTAAAGAGAAGTGCATGCCCAAACATGCCAACTATACGAACTGTCCGGTACGTGTGGATTGATGGGGGAGGGGGGTTAATCCCCGTTCCTTATCAAGAAAATATCGCGATCAATTCACTTAGCGCAAATTTTGGATTATACCCCAAAGAATTAGTGGATAAGGTAGTGTTACAACCGTATTTCACCATCCAAATAGTGAGAATGCAAACCCATTTCAAAGCGGTGGTTAAGGTTTGGGCAAATTTCAAGCAGAATGTTAGACAAAACATTGAGCGCGCAAACACAGTGAGGTTGAATTGTTCTTCAAAAATTAAAAGACATACAAACTAATAAATGTGAGGGGCGGTAGTATACCAATGAGAGGAACTTTCTTACTGGAATTAGATTTAAAGAGATAAGTGATATTAAGAAAACGGTGATGAACATCATATCCGTCTCTGCAAATCTGGTTTCGTAGCGCAAATAACTTATCAGCTCCGTGGTGGCCAGTTTCCCCTTGCGACTGCGTAATTTAATAAATATTCTCATTGCCACATTAAGAAAACAGTGTTACAATGGGAATATTCAATGAAACTAGTGAGAATAAGTCAATTCTCCAAACTGACCTGAAAATATTTCATTGATCCTTTGGCATGATACACATCATATAGCCTGGGTATTTGGATAAGCCAGCGCACATTGTCGGAGTACACATTCCTTTGTAGGGCCCATTTGGCTAAGTTATCCCACTCGTGAATAGAGCGACCGTAGATTGACAAGCGCGGTTCAGCATTTTGATATTTTGACTCCTCGAGATCAGAAAACACTTCCTGCAGTGCAGTAGGTAAAAGGAAGTCAGGACTAATGTGTAGAGACGAAAGAAATAAAATACAGAAACTCTACCAAAGAGTGAAAGTGTGAAGAGTTGTGAGTAAGCTTAGCGAACCATCTTCAAGGAAGTCGTTGAGGGTGGGCATTCTCCGACGGAGCAGGCAAGGAGATAACCATCATTCGTCAGTTGATTAACAAAAAAAAACACCGCAGTTCTATCGAATGCACACACGCATCCGAAAAACCACAGGTAGTTGATTATCAATACAACTGACATCAACTTGGTGCAAAAGTTCCCTTTTGAATCAAAACGTTTTGGATTGGAGCGATAAAAATCACGTACAAATCCAATTTATGTTTTCCTATAAAAATGAACGACCGTATGTACGGGCGGTTTGGTCTAAAGTAAAATTAACAGCGAATGCGGAAATTTCGATCAGTTTAGATTGGAAAACGCACCAACAGAACAGAATGAAAATATACAAATGAAAGTGAGATACAACGGAACACAAAACTCCGGTGTTGCGGGTTATTATGTTGGCTTAGACATTATACTACATAGTACAGTTTTAAAATTACAAAACAATGAGAGGAGATTCTCCTGGTTCTAATGTGGAATGTGACGGATCGATAACATGTTTAAGGTTTCTAACCGCATTCGGCTGCGGGTTTGGTTAACTCTATCACAATTATTCTCAGATAACGGTAAAAATAACCATATCCGTGAACTCATTTCGACAGAAGAGATTTTTAAAGATTAAGGGTGTATTCGTCAAACAGATTCAACGTGTTACTCACCACTGGAAAAAATTAAGAGCATTGTAAATCTGTTTGTCCTCGTTATGAATTATTAGTAATTCATTTCCATTTAAATTCGAACCTGGTTGACGAGGGTTTGTTGATCTTATACGCCAACCACTTCGGATATCCCGGTTGACTCTCAGCAGTGTACCACGCGTCAACACAACCAACTAATGGGGCGCTCATCCGTGACTATCATTAGAAGTGCCGGACCTTATCACCAGGGTATCGATCACTGTCTGGTATTTTCAACGACAGCGACAGATGAGCGTTAGGTTAGGAAGTGTTGACGTGGATTAGCACATCGTGGTCGCACTGTTGATGATTACCAACAAGGATGAAAACAGCCGTAAAACGATTCTCAGGCAGTTTGGTGGTGAGCGACAGGTTTACTCTGGTGAAAGAATACACCTTGATAAACAAAAAGATCTCCCAATTGTTCCAATTCTTCTATTGTTAATTAATGTAGGCAGCTCTGCTGTTGTCCGGTTCAGTACCGCACCTGACTTAATGGGTGGGGCCTTATTTGGTTCGCCGCTCGAATTCAAGGGGCTTAGGTTGCCGGTTACCACCACTGAACAGCAGGTCTTCGTGGCTATGGGGATCGCTCCATCTGCTGTTCATCATTCATTGGTGTGCAATAAAAAAAATAATTAATATAAAACTGTATCATCAAACTGGGAAGTAGTCAGTAATGCTTGTGCAATGTGTACGTCAAAATTATCATCTTGGCAAAAAGTGAAGCAAAAGTCCATGTTTCACTTCAACACAAAAAGGACAACGTTCACCAAACTGAAGTGATAGTGGTCATCGACGTTGTGTTGAGACGGTATAAGCATTCACTTCCGTCACTTACCTTATAAAGTAAACGAGATGGAGTTGTAGGACCGAGCTACTTAATTTACTAGGTTATTCTGTGCCTCCCTAAACCAAATCGAAAACTGCTTCCAACTAATAATTCGATCGCAGACATCGGCAGCGGGCTATTGTATTCCTTATAAAAGGTAGTCGGTTAANGTCGGTTAAACATTATCAAAGAGAGATCTAAAGATTCATGAATCAACAATATACTTTACCCTTTCATTAAGGACTACTAGCGGCTAATTTGATAATTTGTTCACAGCTTGGTCTAGTTTCAGATAACTGTGGCTAGCCACTCAAACCCTATTTGAGGGAAGTAATGGTAAAACACCGGTGAAAAACTAAACATAATCAACATATCGATTGAGTTAATTAAACACACAAGAACCGAAGATAAAAATAACTTGTACTGTGAAAGAAAATTGGCAGTTCATTTCAAATCTAACGTAAACCTTGGTCTGCAGAATCCTGAGTAAAACGTCAACCACAATAGCTAATTTGTTCGAAAATCAAAAAAGGATGGCTGATGCCGAACAAGAAATTGTACCAACAGTTACGAATAAACAACCGGATAGGAACAATCAATCGATCAACGGTTTGTAATTACCTTCAACACATGAGCAAAGAATGCGCCTTGAATGTAGTTGTCCGTTTTGAGGAAGACTTCACGCAGTTGACTTTGACCAATTGGGTTGTATTTGGCATTGAATTTGTCAAACCGATGGAACGTGTTGCGATCCTGAGAGAACGGTAAAGGTGGGGGAACAATGCCCCCACGGACTAGTGCAATAAAACCTCGGTGCAATATCAATTCACAAATTTCAACTGCAATGAAGATTACCTTCGCACCTAAGAGCGAAAAAAGAAAATCATAAGCGCCCATAAAGTTTCCCCTGTAGGCCTGGTGACAGGTGTTATGAATTCGCTGGGAATGAACGAAAGCGATAGCAATAAGACTGAGCATTCGAACCCTGTGAAACTTTTGATTATGACCTTCGATTTGAAGTGAAACTTTCTTTTGGTTCTGTATGTACCACTTGTAAATCAAGTAAATTGAAGAACATCGTCGAAGTGAACTGCGATTTTTCCTCTTCAATCTTTTTTAGCCGCTGAAATTCCTGTTTCGATGGAATTTCCCGAGGTAGGTGACGCGTGGATAAGTCGAATGGTTGGTGCCATAAAGAAGCTTAGGGAGTAAACAATACTACGCTATGTTTCCTGACAAACTCGAACAACAGCCGTGTAAATAAACAGTTGGGTCATTGAAGCAGAAGCGTGAGATTTTTATTCCGGATTGGTGGATGGCGCCACCGAACAAACCACATTACAGTTTTATCGATAACGCATACATTAATGCTCATTTCATGCGGCGAACTAGCCAATAGAAATCGGCACATATGGAGTGACCCAAATCTGGTATCCAATATTGAGAATACAGGTGAGTAATCTAAAGGAGTATACGATAGGAATGTTTGAAAATCCAATGTGTTTGTAACATTCTGAACCGCGATGGTTGTGATATACTTGACGAGAGCAGGGGCAAACGGTTACTGGTCTATTGCAGATAGATACAAAGGGCGGTGGTTGTCGACCAGTGTAGGGCCCCCGGTCATTGCCTCGCAAGTTCGAATCACGTCACCGCTGTTCTTATTTGTCATTTGTAGTTTTGAAGCCGTTAATCGCTCTTCATCTCTTCCTAAATACCAGTTGCGCTATTGTCGCATATCGAACAAATGTAACGAGAAAGATCACCTGCAAACATAACTATTACCGTTCGCACCACATTCCTCAGAGACATTCATTGTTCGTAGGACATTCAGACATCAAAACTTCGTCCGTCTCACTTCCGCAGAGAGGTTGTTTCAGTATATACTGACTAGATCAACAAAACAATTCAGAGAGGAATGGAATAGTTACACGAAAGGAACACAAGTCACTCTGTGAGCGCTACTGAGCCTAAACAAAGTTCTCGGAAGACGAGGTTTAACAGTATACGCGCTATGCATCATGCAACGAAGTGTCCTATCATTACAATTGAAACTGTATTTGCTGTATAAAACATGAAAATGTAAGCTCCTGGAATCGGAGGCGATAGAATGTAACTGGTTAGGAAGTCCGGTTCACTGCTCCGCCATGACACACGTGTGCCAGACACAGTGAACGAGAGAGTGGGTCAGTCACGAATTCGGAACCATGTTTGACACACCCAGACAAGTTCATGTCGAAAGTGATACCATAGATTGCATAACGCGCAGCATGAATCATATCACTTGTACAGAGGCGTATGTGCACACGTAGTGGACGAAACACAGCAGCGTGTTTGATGACCTCTTCCGCAAATTAGCACCGACGATGCACGGCTGTCAAGTATCAGGAAAATCAGTAATATATATTTTCATTGATTTAAATCACATAATATTGCTGTGATACCCAAGGAATGTTCGAGTACTTGTTTTGAAAACCACTGCGGGGACAATTGGTTTTTACTCTACTTTTCAATCATATTTAGAGTTGAATGAATTATTCCAATGAGGATTCTTCTCCGAATCTGATTGTTTGCTACCGAACATTTTGTCACTGTGCGAAACTTCAATTGAGGCGTTTTCACCAGCGTTCAATTGCTTTTATTGTCGTACGGCGTGACAGCCATCCGATTACTGTGCGTGCAGAAGCGCCCGTGAGGTAGATAGAAGGTAAAGTATAAACTGCTAGTTTGATTTATTCTTTTTTGAAAACAATCACGAAAAAAATGTTATTGGGACAAACTAAGACTGGTGATTAGAATAAACAGACTCATACCAAATTCATTGCTAATGAAACCAAACGGGGCCGAAAACGCCATCTGATGCTTCATAGTTTTCCTGTTCACGCTCGTTTTGTACTGTACACGACAAAATTCACCATATAATTAATTACATCAAATCATATATTACTCTCAAATAACTTCAAAGTTTTTGTTGTTTGCGAATTATCGCTGACAAAGCTCATGTAGCACTACAAACACCGTAAAGTAGGCAAATCCTTTTTTCAATGATCTTCTTCCATCATATTTTTGGTTAGATCAAAGCGCGATTCGCAAGCATGTTACTCCATGTTGTTCAAATTGACACAGTTTTTCCATGTGTTTTCTGTGAGGCTATGGTCTTATAGACAGAGAAATTAAATCTGGCAATTGTTTGCACCCAAAATGATGGATTTCCTGCTGAGATAAACCCCACTTGAGCCATCACAAAGTTGTATTTTCAAATCCTCTGATTAAAATAACGGTTTTACTTTCAGACATAGCAGCCTGTTCGAGACCTTCAACTGTTGCTTCTGTCAGTGAAATCGGCTTGTCAAGTTGAAAATTCCTGGTACCGTGATTCCAACAGATATTGCGGAACCAAAGGTCCCGAATGCGTTGCTCATTGCGCGAAGGTAGTGTTTAATGTTGTTTTCTCGCATAATTATCGAAATATATATGCATTAATATTGTACAGAACTGTGTGCTTTCTCCGTTATTCCACGATTGTTAGTGCATTAGCTTCGACCGACAAACACCCATTTTTTCAAGACTCAAGTGTTTTGTCAACTGAGTGACCGAAACTCTTGTCGTGTTAGCGCACACAGGTAACACCGCTATTGAAGTGGATATGTGGAACTGGCAATGGGATCGGTAACTAGGGCTTATCACTAGTCAGGACGTATTCCTTGCAACAAAACAATGAAATTCGACTCGAGCTTGAAACCGACAGCAAACAAGATAATAAACGTGGTCATATTGATGTTACAGTTCGCGGTCGGATACGATAATCAGATGAAAGGAGATCCCATTGCGCTAACGGCATTCCGTGTAGAAGCAACTGACAGGAGAAAGACCCATCCAGTTCTGTTTATTTAGAGTAAAAAATAAAAGGCACTGAGCACATGGTTTGTACACTTTGAACAGAATGCTTAACCAACAGACGACGAAGAGGAAACATTTGATACACCGATGGAACTAGTAAAAAGCGATCGAAATCTTAAGGAGTCAAACGTAGTTATCCATTTCATCTATAGAATAAGTGCACCTTGGGAATATTTTATAAAAAGCATATGCAAAATGAGCCCTATATAGCGGATCGTATGATCTCAGTGAGTAGTTTGGATGCAGTGTACCAGTTGAATAACACCCTTTCGGGCTTGTTCTTAACTCGGTTTGAATCAACAGACAATCTATCGTACAATGGCGCCAAGTACTTTACTGATTATTTTAAAATTGCATCTATTCCAGGTAGATAAAATTCTTTGAAAACTCATCAAAAATACGAATCAACAAAATTAACTCTCAAGATGTCTTCTTCATTGTTCAAGACCTACTTGCAGAGATGTGGCTTTCGTCAGCTGAAGTATCTTTCTCATCCAAGGACTACCATAAAAATCAGTTCACCGCATTACGTTGCATCACTTTGAAGCATACTATAAATTTATTTATTCGGACCTTTTGGGTCACTGACAGAGTGATTAACCGAAGTTAAGCAGGAAACGAATGCTACCGAAAGGACTGTAACTAAACAAAACTCACAGCGTGCATATCCAAATTGTCGATACTCAGGTCGTAGGCAGTAACACCGATCTTGTCAATCAGCTGTAAAACACAATGAATGATCAGAAAAGAATGACCAGTAATCATATGGTGGACGAACTGCACTAAACCCATGACAGTTTTACAGCACGAGATATCACCATCATCAGCGAGATACAGTGAAGTGAACTTCACTGATCGCTGTCAAGCTCACAATGTACACAAATCAAGCGATAAAGCACAAGATGGAAAGAGAATGGGCCTAATTGGAGGGAGGCAAACAAAGTGTATCTCTATGGTCAACACACAGAGTACACAATCCAAGGGTGCATACATAACTTTTCAAGCATACTGACCTGATAAGAAATGACACTGCTGTCGGTTAGTTGTCATATCCTGCAGTGTCCCCAACCAACCAGTTGCAGTCTTTTGAATCCCAACCTGGAAGACGGGAGACACCAATTCTACCTAATTGCTTTGTGCATTTCTTCATACTTCGTCTCCACATCATCTGTTGACCTACACGCGGTTTCTGCCAACCTGGAGCCCGAAACTGCAAATAGGGCGCAGTGCGGTAGACGATAACAGGGCATGCGCAATATGTGCCTTAATTAGCGAAGTCCACTAATCTGAAGTCGAGGGAACAACGAATTCTTCATCCTATCATTACCAAATACGCGACGGCTTACCTCAGAGTTGTTTACACACTCGCACCATCCAACCCACGGCAAACTACNACGAACATCTTCCGCGAGCAAATGAAGGATCACGGAAGCATAAAGCAGAACTGACCGCACACTTGCGCAGTATATACGACCTTTCAATTTCAACGAAACATCGCGTCTGCACCAAAGGTGTGTCAGTCCTGTGTAAGCTGCTCGAGCCTTGGAAATGCGGGCGGTTAATTTATTGATTATGCTACCGTCATTTGTCACACAGCCACCTAAGTAGGAGAAACATTCCAATATCATCATTAAGCATCAGAGTTGGGGTAGATGGCACCCAATCTTGTAGCATCATTTTGCACTTTGAAGGTGCCAAACACTCACCAAATGAAGTTACAGAACTTGGAATTCTGTCGAGATTGCTTTGCGCATCCTCTATACATTCGAACAAGCAAAAAATGCTGTCCGCGTACTCTAAATCGCACACCTTCCCTCCAGCTGCCCATTCAAAACCAACATTTTCGAGACCCCTAAGTGAGTTCTCCAGTATTTCGTCTCCGACGAAATTGAACAAGAATGGCGAAATAGGGCACCCTTGACGAACGCCGCTGCTGGTTTCGAACGATTTACTTAGCTCACCGTAGATCCTTAGACTATCAAAAGTATGCAGGTACAGAGACCGCAATACTTCCTCGGCATTCTTCTGCGAAGCAGTGACCCCATAAGAGCTTCACGGTCAACTGAATCGAAAGATCCTTTTGGGTTTAAGAAAATTGTGATTTTTGGCCGACGATGTGTGTGAAGCAATTCGAGGACTTGATTCAGAGTGAAGATTTGGTTGATACAACAACGATCTGGTCGGAATCCTGCTTGCTGTTCGCGGATATACCTCTCCCTTAAGGCGGCAAAGTATCACAGAAGTCAACACATTTGTGATTATCGGAACTAAACTAATTCCGCAGTGGTTTGCGCAGTTTTTGAGTCATTGTCATCATCGTAAAGCAAAATACAGTGAAGCGAACTTCACTGAACGCTACCAAACTCGTAATGCACACAGGTTAGTGGTAAAATCTAAGGTGGACAGGGATTG